AAGACAACAGAATATAAAAACCTAGCAATAGCACAAGACACAAAAATAACAACAAAAAAACTATTTACAAGCATAAGTCGAAACGGAAAAAGACCTGAATCTTAATCTAGGAATCGAAATTTAAACCAGGAAAGTTAAGTTGATTATAAAAAATACGTTTATTATAGACAGACCTTTCTAAAATGTTAAAAGGCAATTTGAAGCAGTTAGTCTGAGCTCTTCAGATAATCTCTTAAAAAAAGATGTGATCTCAGGATGGAGTGTTACACAATTACAATAAGAGGAGCTTAATTTTTCTCAAACACTGTTGTGCAACACGTGCATGTCAGTGACATGAGAAAATGTAGAGCTAGCTTTGCATTTCAGTTTGGCCCATGCACATTTTTGTTTTGTGTGCCCACAGAGAGAAGAGATAAGAAAATCACAGAGCGAAGTAATCACACTCACCAGGGTTAACCTCCCTGTAAGTGCCCACTCCATAGGCATCCACAATGTTCTGGAAACCAGAGGTAAATTTGTTGGTCCTTATCAGGGTCGGGGGAGTGTCGTTGGTGGGGATACGATTGACAAAGGAAGGAACTGTCGCTCCACTTTTTCTCTGAAAAAATCAATGTAAAATCAAAATGTCAGCGTGTCGCCATAAACTAATTTCACCTAAATGTCTTGAAACATTTGATTAGCACTGCAAAAATTAGGCAGCACAGTGGATATAATTTCTGTTTGTAGTTTCTAGCAGTTTTGGCTTAATGATAAATAAACCTCTGTAGCAGCAATTATCCCCATTACTTCATCAAAGTATTTCTTTATCCCAAATACACACTCTGTCGTTCTCAGCCTGCCAACTGAATGAACAGCAGCCTTTCAGCACCAAGTCATGTAAAATGTATTTTTCCTTGAATTAAAGCGGACATAATAAAAGCAATGCCTCACACAATACTTGCTTTTATTGTAACAATACCCCAGTTCATGAAGCAACTGCCCGGGTTAAATAAACAGAAAAAGAAAGCCTGCAGTGAGGCCAAAGTCACATAGAGCAACTCTGTTGAGAGCTTCCTCACCGATCCGTCTTCTAGGGCCCTCCGCAGGGTGGGAATGTCATTGACAGGACACCAAACCTCAGCGATCAGACACTTGTTAGTGACATCAAAACTACACAGGTTCAGAATATAGTAGATGGCCTTCATCTTCTTGACCTGGATGACCCACGTGTAGACGGATTCTGAAGCCTTAACCAGGACCTGTCTCAGATAGTCTTCTGTCCTATGAAGTACCTGCACACAGTAAGAGACAAACAGGACTCAGAAACAGAAGATATTTAAGACTTTGAAAAAAAGGTTAAGTTTCCAAAACCTGACATGTTTTTAAAATTTCTATGATTTTGTATGGAACATTAACAGAAAGAAATAAACATATACGTCTTTGTGTCTGAAGAGAGACGAGGCAGAACAGAGAGAGTGAAGAAAAAGGAAGGATATGAAAAAATCATGCATGAAAGAGAAAAAAAAAAAACAGCTGAGCTGTTTCAGCTGAGGCCTCATGCTGATCATGTGCTACAGGGGGTGAGTGCAATTCTATTTTTCAGTCACAGTGGGTTAAAGCAACCGAATTATTCTTGGCGCCCCAGACAGAAATTTGAATTGACCCTGTAACTGGCAGGACTGGCTCCCAAGAAGAAAAAGCGGGTTAATCTCTTAGAGAATAAATCAGCCATTTCATTCAGTTCATTCATTCCTCGTTGACCATAAAAGACCAGTGAAAGAGAGAAATCCTTACTGGATGTAATCACTGAACAATTTCTGCAAGCTTGTTTTGGGAAATGTTGGTATTCCTTTATCTTAAAACCATGCACCTGGAGAGCTCATATTTTAAATCTGCATAATTAGATGCTTTAAAAAATGTAAGACATACTGTGTGCAGGTCCTGAATGCGAGTTCTTAGTCCTTCCACAACATCATTCCTCTCCTCATTGTTACTGGGATAGGGATACAAGTGACAGTGGTAGCTACGGAGGGAAAAAGGAAAAAGTATGTTATTCACAACTCACTACTACCACCAAGGTAAGCACAAAAATAAAAAGATAAACAAGCGGATATCCGCCCATTTTCCTGCCACTAATAGAACGACCATAGGTATTGTGGAATAATTACCAGTCACAGATCTTCTTCACTTTCTGGCCAATTTGGTCTCCCCAGTAAGAGATCAGGAACACCACGCTTTTGGTAGGCTCACCCTTCAGAGAGAAAATAAAAGGAAGTGTTGTATATCAATAGGACTCTCCATCGAAAATAAAAGTGTCGTTTAGGTCCCAGAGTATGTTTTCAAGTGGTTTTCTGTTCAAAAATGGAATGTTTCATTAAAATGAACTGAAAATATGTATTTTTGTTTGTATAATCAAGTTGCTTATTACCAAAACAAAACATTGATATTGAAAGCTCAGTTTTGACCTGGGAAAATGCAGCTGTAAACGACAGCTTTCTCAACCTAATAAAAAAAAAAAAAAGCAGGATCGCAGGGTTTTTTCAGCTTAATATCAACCCTCCTCTTTTCACACCATTCAGCAACACGTTAACATAGCTTGTAAATTTAGATTTTCCGTCAGTGAAAGTATGTCCTGACATTCCATTACTGATCAGTCGCAGCTCTGCATGCCTGCCTTCTGCTCAAGCAGAGGAAATGGTTAAGTGGATTAGTGTTGTCAATATGAACAGATAAGACCACGGCACTCATTGTTTATGAGAACAGAAAGAGGGACTACAACAGAGTTCACAACAGCTTCAAGAGTGTCATTTCCAATTATGTCCCATTATTTACCATACGGTATATACATTTGGTCACAGTTTCAGGATTTTACTTTCCTCTTTTTTAACAATACTCTGCCACAAACTCCAATGTGGCAACACTAGACAAAAAGTAAAATGACAATGATATTTTAGTGATACATCATGTGATATTGAGCAAATACGTTCTGGGCTAAATGGCAGTAATAACAAAATAAGTAGAATATTGAAAATACAAATATTTTGTTTATCTGCAAGTAAATTGGTTTCTTTGCAGTATCATTGCCTTTAGCATGGCACAAAAACATGGTAAGGATTTATGTGTATCAGCTTATAAATGGTTTCCATTGCACATAAATTTTGATCTTGTCTACTAAAATTATGAAAATAGAGAATTTTAAATGGTTCCACATAAGTCATGTGCAGACACAGACGTTAAGATTAAATCTGCCCTTTCTTGGATCAGGCCCAAAGTGTGTTTTCAAAGTTGATTTACAGTAAATGGATCAAATCTAAATCCAGTTTGTTATCTTGTTGTACCAAACCTTCCAATAAGACAAGACCCAAACTAAGGAAATGAGATACAGACAAAATATGTAATTCTTCTGCCTTTCCTGTGTATATTTTAATTAATTAATTAATGATTATGATGAACTAATTATACTTAGGCACAAATGTTGGACAGTGTCAGCTATGAGACACTTACCGTGTCAGGATTTTCCAGATACTCCTCGACCTCCGCATAGCTGAGGATGGTGTAGCCTTTACACACTCTCCAAAGCATCCGCTCAAAGGCCTCGATCTTCACCCTCTGAATTAGCCCCGAAATGAAACTGTAAGAGAATCAGGAGAAAATTCACAAACAGCTAAACATATGTGCCCACTAGGCAAACTTAAAAATATCACAATAATGACATCAAGGCAAAATCACAATTCAAAATGTATCTTAAACATTGTTTGAGTTGCTTTCATAATTCCAAATTCAAAAAGATGTCCTTCTTTGTGCAGCTGCATCACAAAAGAAAAAACTTTCATGTGATGTTAATGTATGTAAGATAAAATTACTGTTATCCCCACCCCCCTGGTTGACATTATGAGCTCACACTAACATCTTCTACACTGATATTCGAACTTTCGTGTGTAGACATCTTCACGGACACGTGTGCATGCGAGCAATCTTAACGTCACAGTGAGCGCAGCGTTGGTATTACCCAAACAATCTGACATTATTGATGTCACATTGTGCTCAACTGAAGGTAACACAAGCTGCCTGCTGCAGCTGGGAAACTTCCTATGTTGCAGAGTAGCGGCAAAGTGACTTCAGAGATATGCAACTGTGAGGTTAGCTCGGTTTCCTTTGAGAATTCACTGTCGCTGCACAATCACAAATAAACTGTTTTCCCACAGCACTGACGTAACTTTTTAAAAGAGCAACATGTGGGTGAAAACACAGTGCTGCATTCCAGTTATGGCAGCTTGTTCATTTCTTGTCTGTGTGTGAACTGTGTAGAAAGTATATCTGTAAAAAAGAAGACTGACATCTCTGATCTTTATCGCTTACCCCAGTTTGGCTCCTAGCCTCTGCATACTGCTGTAGTCCATCACTGTGTCTTTTTCTAGGAAGGGAAACTCCTCATACTGTACTTGTAGGGGTTCTCGCTAAAGGTAAAGATCCAAGAGGGTAAAGAAGATAAAAAAACTATATATGTATAAACAGGATGTAAATATGGGTGCGCAGAATCCAGCTCCTTTACAGAATGACAGACCAACCTCACTATTTCTTTGAACAAAGTTGCGGGTGATTCGCAGCATGTGTGTGTACTCTGTCAACTCCAGCAGATTCCTCTGCAGCTTCTCTTTATTCTTGGTTACTTCACCTAACTCCACTTCAAGCCTCTGCAGCTGCTCCTGTAAACACACACACAGACACCCAGTCATATATTAATATAATCATTTATATGGTTTGAAAAAAACATTTTGGTTGTAATCCACCAATTTTACACAGTAGAACAAAGTAGGACTGAGTGTTTTATGTAGATAAAATACTCCTCTATAATTTAGTTGCAGTGGCATTAACTTAAACGCTGATTTAAAAACTAAAATCTAACCATTATAGCCATGACGTGCTTGGGTAAAGGAGCCACTGGGTTCACGTCTCCTTCTGGCAGTGAAATGTCTGCTTTCTTGACTTCCCTCAGAAGGTATCCTGTTGAAAATAAAGAGCAACTGGTTCTAAGACACAAAAAACGTCCACATTAAATGACCAGCCTTTCAATGGCACTGGATTCGAAGCAAAGTCTGACAGTGTGTTATTCTCTCTCTTAATCTAATAATAAAAGGGTTTAGTTAACCAAGGAAGGCATTTCATTCAACTAAATCTATAACCAGCTGACATTTCTCATGACTGTAGGGTCACTGGCTCTCAATTCAATTCAGTGAGTAGGACTATTGTGGCTTCATGTATTCCCACTTTGCTTCTACAGTCCCACCACAGCGTTGTCGCAAATTATTCTGCGACAGACTGACAACAACTCACTGAATAGATAAGGAGCCTTACTGGTGAGCTGCATATTGAAAAGGTCAACACATCCTTACCAAGGATCCTCTCCATCTCTTCACATTTTTTGATCTCATTGACGTGTTTTCGTTGGAACGCGTTAACACTGGGATTGAGCTGAAACAGGTGAAAGAGACATATTTAGTAGAGAATTGAACGATTAACAATCCTCATGTGTGGGACATACCACTATCTTCAGGACAAACCATCATAAACCTCACAGTAAGTACCTGCAGGGGCCACTTTACAGCACTCTTATACAACAGCTATAAGCTATGATCTGGGGGATTATTGAGGAGCTTCATTGGGTTTACAAGACCATATGCCATGTTGCGTTTGCTAGAAAATTGAAAATCAGTGGAAAAATCTTACAGGAAAGTATGTAGCTACAATCAAAATAAACAAACTTTCGCCAAGGTGCTTCTAATGTTAGCCAAACTCAGCAAACACTCGTTTAAAGTGGGTGAGACACTGTGCTGTGCATTTACAGGATATTAAGAACGGTTAACTCACGTCTCTGACACCCACAGAGTCCCATGTTCTGCCAAGGGTTCATTGATGCAGTCGGTATGCTGATCCAGACTGTAAAACAGTGGGTTCCAGACAGCATCTTCTTCCCCTCGCGCAGCAGAGAGCTCATTCTGGACAGCGTCAGCTCCGAAACACTTTCTGCTCAGGGACGACGTGGATAAATGTTGTAGCGAGCTAACTAACTATTTCTGTAAGCATGTATGCACTTCAGACGGCGGTCGGTTGATCCCTGCCGGTGCTTTCTCATGGCTTGCTCCGGGATAAAACCCAGATGTGCTAACTGAGACAGCTATCGTGTACATTCCAGAGGCTGTTCGCTTGTTAGGCTAAAGGGCTAGTGGTGGAGGCGCCGTGTGGTCGAATTCTTGAAGATGGGAAAAGAAAAAAACTTGTTTTTAATCAATGGGCTGGAACAGAGACTGTGAGCGCCGTTGCGGGGTATCAAATACAGCTATGTGCGTATCCTGGAGAGTGTCGGCCCAACTCGTTCCCCGTATTCATTTGAAGTTTTAGCAGATGTCGATGATATACACGTCACTTCACATGTTGAATGCGATTCAACTTGTCACGGGCAAGTGATATGTGGACCTTGCACCAATGAGCGCCCCCCGGAGTCTGCGGCACAAACAGTCTGTTATTGGCGCTTCTGTGCCCTCAATCGCTGTCTGAAGGCGAGGCGGTCACGAAGTTAGTCCACATTGCTTTTACACTTTGTTTGGTGTTAATATAATCAGGCTTGGGTCGGGAGTAAAGGGTGATTACATGGGTGAGACGTGAAGTCTGTTAGTTAATCAGAAAATGTGAGAAGAAAGCGATTACGAGTTAGCAGCGGAAGAAAGAAAATGAGTTAAGTGCAGGTTAGCAGGTTGCCATTTGATAAGAAATGGGTTGATGTTTAGCAGTGTTGCATTTAAAAGTATTCTTATAAGTTCCTGTATTATGCCCCGTAAAAGGAATTCATTTTGACACAGTTAGCAATAGGGCGAAAGCGAGCTCAAAAACAGAAAACAAAGAATATCACAG